ATTGTTCATATGGTTCACCAGATCAGCAAAAAATGATAATTTCCAAAGCCACTCGGTATTTGATAAAAGTGTTTCGTGCTGGTTTTTCTCGGTAAGAAACATATGAATTTCATTCCTGAGCTGAAAGAAGCGCGAAAGAACCTTTCCACAGCTACTTCAGTATAATATGTCAGGTCAATAAGCTCGGAATCACATTTACCAGTACTCACTGGAAAATTAGTTCAATTGGCGCATTTGTGCACAATTCTTTCGCGGGCCGGATGTGGCCCGCGGGCCGTAGTTTGGAGACCATTGTCTTAGTGTACCAAAATTTAATTGAATTTTTTTTATCCGTGTCATTTGGATTTTTTTTATTTATTTAAGATCTCTAGTTTTGTTATGTGTATTTACGTTCGTTTTTGTTAGCGGATATTTTGGTGTCAAGTTCTCGCCTAAGCATTTCTTATTAAAATATACAATTACCGTTGCAGTTCAATGGTTTAAGCTTAGTGTTAATGTATTTATAAATGCCGTTTCTTGACTAGCATTTATCATCCTGTTGTCTTTATTAAATAAAATTCTTTATTGAGATCCCTCGTAACACTATACGTGTACATGTCACGAATATACCTGTGTATATCCGCTGGAATATAAGAAGACTGCAGCAACTGACTTCACAGTATGAAACATTACATCAGGAGTTTTCAACCGTATTTTATTCCATAACTTTCGTTTTATAATAATTTTATTTTTCATTGTATTCTTATACCTTGCGTTTTATAATGTAACAGTTATCAAGTATCCAGCTCTACTGTCACACTGAAATGCAGTTCAATAGTGTGGGAGTTCAGTAACCTTGTATTTGCCTGATGATGGCTTTAAAAGCCGAAACATGTAGCTTAGGTGATGTTAACCTAGACCGTTTCGTTGTTGTGTTACGATGGAGCCCAATAAAGAATTTTATATAATAAACACAACAGGATACACCCAATGAAAAATAACGCGTATTTATTTAATCCAGTTTAAGCAAAATCGGCCATTTAGATTTAACCACGGAAAGGAGGATAACAATAACGCCACATTTGGCTAGCTAAATTGGTATAGCAACTAGCCTAGGAGCTGGACGACCGAGAAGTTGAGGTTCGATTCCCGGCAGAGGCAAGAAATTTTTCTCCATAACTTCCATGCCAATTGCAGAGCTAAAGGGACTGCAATGTTGTGTGGCTATGCAGCAGAGATTTATGAAGTGTCTTTATTGCTGGAATTCTGATATTAACATCTGGGGAGCCACATCGTCGGCGTGCAATGTAACGTGGAATTGGGGTACCAGCTATAAACTTGCTGTAGAACCCCCCCAAAATAAACCTCCGTGGCCTGAGTCCGCAAGCGAACTATACCGACCGAGCGACCGCCGCTTGTCGGCGAAGTTAGCGCCATTTTTAGCGAATAGGGGGTGTCGCGTGGTCAGTGCAACGAATCCCCACTGCGGTTAATTTCGGTTTAAAACCATAAATTAGTCGACAAGTCGGAGGACCTTGCGGATGCATGAACTTCTAGCCAAAAGTAAAGGTAAAGTTCACCCTGTGCTTAATTAAGCACCACGTCATGAAGACGTATGGCAAGGTATAGCTCCACTAGTTCCAAACCTAGAATTAAATGTAAATGAGCCAAAGTACCACCGGCACACAGTGGACAGAGGGCTGGGTGGGGTAAAGGATCGACAAGCTTTTCTGTCCTCGTCTGTAATGGACCTCCGATTTCTCTGTCGTTCTGTCAGTATTGACAGAACTGCATCGGTTCCGTCTAGTCTTCTGTCGATGCAGACGTTCTGTGCTGCATACTGCGTGCCAGACGGGGCCATCTGTGCTCGGAAAACCCACAAAGGGTTAATCGGCCTATGAGTCATAGCTCGTGGAATGTAACACAACCAGCACAATGCTCACGGACTTGTCGTGACGGGATTATTGTCTAGTTCCACTATATTCGTCTAGATGGCAGGACGTCCCAGCATTTGTTCTCCGCCATCTCGTGAGGGTATTTGAAACTACTTCCCCGTAGAGCTGAAATGACGTATTTGTCATCTCACGTTATGGAACGTAAGAACACATTTCTCCTTCAGTGATAAGAAAGTGGTGATTTAGAAACGCGAAACAGATTCCAACAAATTAAACAGCGTGGGGAACTTTGGGCACAATAATTCTGGGCATTCAAATGTATCAATCGACTATAAAACTTAGCTTTCTAGTACGTATACTTTGGTAGATATGTACCAACATTTCGGAATAAAGTGCTGTCTCCATCTTCAAGACAGGGCAGTCACTCTTCTACCCAGAAGAGTGAGACAAAAGGGGTTTGTAAACGTTTGTATAGCCCATAACTTCTACCAAATTACACGTCGTCACATCAGAAATTTCAAACAATAACATTCAAATTCAACACAATAAATTATTATTTTACCTACAATTGTGCAACCCGAATGTTAACACCGTTAATACCAAATCCCGCGATTGATCGTACCACTTTGGCAGTCTCATCCCCCTCCCCACCTCACAACCTATTTAAAAATTTCTCGGTCTTCCAAGTTGTCGTTTTCCACGTGGTTTTTCAATTTTATTTTATATTTGTTTCTTGTTAACACCTTAGCAACGTCACAACTGGTTTCCTGGCACCACTGTTTCGTTACCCGGAGGTATCGGGTTCGATTCTGCGCCCGAAGGCCGATTATATCGAGATTTTTCGCCGTTTCTCTCAATCGTTTCAAGTAAATTCCGAACAACAGGCTAAACCAGAACATGGTCACTTCCTTCTACGCTTCTGCAAAGTACAATCACAGCTATGATCTCATTCAGACAGCATATAAACCATGCACACGGAAAGGCGTCGCTAAATACATTATTCTGAAAGAGAGAAGAACCATGGAAGTTTCCACTATTTACCTGGTTGCACAGTTGTTTGGAAATGTCTGCAAGTCCGGCAAGCCCGCCGAACAGCAGGAGATGCTCATCGGCACTCAGACTAGATAGCTTTTTAAGCGGACCACCATACAATTCTCCGGCCGACCCCAACAGCGCGCTGTACTCCTGTTCTTCATTGAGTAGCATCTCTGTCAGTCGGAACCGAACATCGGACTCTGAAAAGCAAAACCACTTCACATGAGAACAATCACTACCAAAGAATGTGTCCCGTGCCCCAATGTCCCTTAAAACATTTAGTTTTTATTTCTTGGGTCGATATAAGGGCAAAGCTATGCTCACCCACATGTCCAAGTACCTATTCTGTGTGGCATTAGATGCAGGTGAACGATTAGCTTAAATCCGAGAGAAGGGAAAGCCCTCCTGAATACAGCCGTGACGAAATATTCTGTCTCAGCCGGGAAACCAACCCCTTAGCAAGTCATTTCCGTTCTGTCTCAGCCGGGAGACCACCCCCTTAGCGAGTCATCTGCGTTCTGTCTCAGACGGGAAACCAACCCCTTAGCGAGTCACCTGCGTTCTGTCTCAGCCGGGAAACCAACCCCTTAGCGAGTCACCTGCGTTCTGTCTCAGCCGAGAAACCAACCATTTGAAGAGTCACCCGCGTTGTGTCTCAGCCGAAAAACCAACCCCTTAGCGCGTCACCTGCGTTCTCTACATGTTATCGTTCCAAAACACTGTGCTTAGCCAAGCTACGAACCAATGGGGAAGACTGTTCTGGGAACTTTAAAGGAAGATTACCTACAGATCTAAGTAACAGAAGTATATTATATTATATTCATATAACCGACACAGTAACGCGTTAAACTGAATTACCACCTGCTTCGACGTCAGGAACCTCGCATCTTGACCACGCAGTGCAAGCATGCGCTCCGTACTGTTTTCAGAATAATCAGCGATTATTTCACGGAACAGCACTAACCGACTGGTCGTTTTGTTTTCTGTGAGGTAGGAACTGAATATGTAAATATTGTCTAGAGTCTAGAGTCGCTTTGAAGAAGTCAACTTCATGTCTCCTTACCTCCACGTGGGTCCTGCGGCTTATTCACATCTTCTATTAGGAGGATGTCGCCTTCTAAGAGGCTCACGTCAGCATCGGGGTTGACCCTGGCCATGGAGCCAGCCAACAGTAGTCGACACTCAGAGAGCGCGAACTCTTGCACTATGGGCGCAATGAGGTCTCGAACTGCTGTAGGAGATGTCGCAGGTAACTGCAAAGAAGACAACAATGAGTCACTTAAAAGTACATGTGCCCCTGCGCCTAAGCACCACGTCATGAAGCTGTAGGCTACAGATGCGTGTACTGTAAGTTCCGAGCATTCTGAACCTCCGAACTACTAAATGGTAATGAGCAGCCATTTTGAAGCTCCGGGCATTTACCCCCAGGAGCCATATGATAGCAGGGTGGGTGGTTTCGACAGCCGGTCTGAAACAACTGGTTGCTAATCCTGCCGGAGACAAGCGGTCAGGCTCATGCTCCGGCCACTTTATCCTCGCGGCATATTTACTAGGAGCCTAGGCTGACCCCAGAATCATCGTGGCGCGTGCTGACATTCACGGTCTGACCATGTTTTTTTAATACTAGTGGGGTGGTACTAAGTCCCTTGTACTGTGGCCACTTCTGGCCTACTGTACCAGCCCCAGATGATAGGTGAGGGTGATTGTGGAGCAATTGGTGGAATGAAGATTGGCAGGGGAAACCTAAGTACTCGGAGAAAACCTACCCCAACGCCACTTTGTCCACCTCAAATCCCACTTGACCAGACCCGGGATCGGGAAGCCAGCGACTAACCGCTTGAGCTATGGCGCGGCCCTGTCTGACCATGTTACACACAGGGCATATTGTACAGGAGCCTAGGTTGGTGTGGGTACACTGGTTGGTGGAGAACTGCTGGAGACCACCGTCGGCGTAAGTGTTATATGTCCCTCCCCCTTGGAAACGAAAACAATCTGCATTCTCCTCATTCGAAAACAAACGGTCACAAAACTAAGGCATAAGCGCATGACCGCGCCATAGCTCAAGCGGTTAGTCGCTGGTCTCCCATTGCGGCGGTCCGGGTTCGATCCCATGTCTGGTGTGGAAATCAACGATACTTGTTATGATTTGTGTGTATAAATACAATAAATTCAAACATCCAATCCAAAACCCGTTAACAGTCACCCATACACGTGCCAATATGCAGACAAACATACACAAACAAAAGAACTGCGAGTTGGCGGGCCTAACGACACACGGCACTGGTTCCGTAGCCTGCAATGCGAGTAGTGTCTGACCACTATGCCGTTTATCGCGTACAATTACTTCGCAGTTAGGCAGTGAATTACATAAGTCGATGGAAGGCACTTACTTCCTTAGCCGCAGTAGTAAATCTGTGACGATCTCCTGCCTAAGTGTCATTTCTAAAGTCCGGTTTCTGTCAACAAGTTGTCCCTGTATTCCCACTTATTCGGACCAGGTTCTTTCTTTTACCCTCTACTCGGATCCCATAACAGACCACCTCTGTTTCTGAACATACACACTTCAACCCTGAAGCGTCGGCACCCGTCCCCGAAACTACACGGTATCACAGTCCAGTAGACCATCACCTTAACAGCCACCGCTGCGGAAACCTCAAAGCCCACATCACACCAACAGAATCTTCAAAACAAATAAAAGAGCAAACAAACCCTTGTATTTGCACCGTGGAGGAACATTAAGGCCATGTTTGCGCGTAAATGACTGCCTGCTTTCAGATCGGCGAAACGCCGTACACAGGTAGGCACAATAGGACGAGATGGTTAGTAAAAATGGGTAAAGCTATCCCTGTAACAGGCCGCGAAGGCCCATAGGGTTGTGAGACGTCGAGGCTCTAACATTTTGTCTAGACAATCGGCTCACAGATGGCGGTAAGGTCAGCCTTACGCGCCGGCCGCCCTTTACCCCCCAAAAGGAAGATTCCTGGTACTCATTTCTGTTAGAGACTTAGTCGAACCCAGGGCCATAGTGCGGGTGACTCTAGTAGGCAACGGTGGTGCAAGGTGCATAACAGACGTGCATGCAGCGCACTGGTGGAACATAACAAGGAAAGAGACCATCCGGGAGACAGGCGTAGCGTACGTACATGTGAGGGTAATATTAAAATGTATTAACGAAATTGCAAAATACGAGTAGCGTTAACTGACGTACAGAAATTCGACTCAAGCACTGGCCCCCCTTACTGCAGATTTATAGATTCTTATCTTGCATTCTTGCACCATGCGCACGAAAAGAGCTCGTGCTGTGTCTGTCTGTCTGCCTACCTGTCTGTATGTTTCAACTCGACACTGGACGGATCTCTATGAAATTTGGCATGAATATTACGCCACTGGAGGCCAACCAAATCTCGTAATTTTAGATTTCCTACAATCAGTAATACCAGCACGGTGGACGCACGAACATAGGGTCTGAAAATTGTGCATGGTAGCGAACCTTCAAAAAAATGCAGCTTTTAATATTGTTTTCATTTCTGAAAACGTAAAAACAAAATGGCAGTAGCATAAAACACATATTTAGCTTCCGGTTGGGCAGCGATGTACACGGCTTTCAATCCTCAGTATGAATACGATTATATAATAAGACTGTGCAGGCAATAAGCAGAAGTCATACAAAATCATGAGAATGAACATATTCACAGTACGGGACAACGTGTAGCCAGACACACAAAATATAAGAGGCTTAAACTTGGAGGCGGTCAAGCTTGCGACCGTTCAAGTGACTAAGCTGCCGTTGTAACATAAGATAAGTAAGAGAGACATCATCTGCTTTGCAAAGCCTGGCCTGGCAGAGGACTTGTACATAGTGCAAAAGGAAGAATTTTCAGTAACGTGCTATATGTGCGATACGTGCACGTGACAAAAGCCGAAGTAATTCATACGAGACAAACTCATCCTCTCGTCAGACAGGGCGTTACATAAGGGCTACGACCGCAAGGGTTCAGTTGAAAAATATCTGGTAGTGTCTCAAGGGGCACGGCGCCAAGACGAAGTGACTCTGACTCTGATAATTAATCAGCTCCTGGACTTAATCACGCTAAATACTGTACGCAAATATATCGCACACACCTGCAAATTCTCTAATATTAAGTGACTGCGTGACTACAGACGGGGTTTGGATTGGTAATCGGAATTAATGGACTGTTAAAACGTCCGACTCGTGACTGCACTTTACAGATCACTCACTATCACACACAAACTACTGTTCTCAGTCATGATATTCATTGCGCTGCTTGGTAGCGGCTTCCAACGTCGGACGTTCCCCTTCCTCTGAGTTCTCGAACCGTCCCCGGCTTCTGCAACTCTCACAACTGACCTGCAGCAGTTCTGTAACTCAGTGGTTCTCAACCTTTGTCAGACCGCGGTCCGGTAAATATTTTTCTTCTATAAGACGAGGGCTCGGTATAATTCGGGCCGCGGCCCTGCGGTTGAAAAAACAGTGCTCTAAGTCGCGCCTAACTTGTCCTGCTTACATCTCGGAACGGACCGCGTTGGAAACACCATTCCTCTGTTGTTTACGGGCCGCTGCCTAGTAACGATCGGTTGTTGTGACTCCACAATTCTTACTTTGAGCTACTATGCCATAATATTGATTCCAAATTAAGAATTAAAAGCATGGCGACAGTGTGAATCTTTCGCGTTACGTACGACCGAAGCAAAGTTCCTCCAAGGTAGCGGTTCTCGACCTGTGAGATCGCGGCCCGGTAAATTGTTTCTTCTATTAGACGAGGGCCGAGTATAGGTGATTTATGCCAGGCCCCACGGTTGAAAAACGCTGCTCTAAGGAGCAAACAGATAAATGATATCTAATACTGTTAACGTGTTCATGAGACCTACACACAACAGTCCGAAATTTTCAGAATGCAAGGGCGAAAAGAAAGCATGTGGAAACCGTCTTCTGGTATGGATTACACAGCTTCCCTAACTTGTTCTATAAGATGCGGTGAGAATAACAGGACAGCGGATCACGTCATCACAAATACACTTTCTGCTTGGTCCCACGGCCTGATTAGATCTTTCTTCTCCTCTTCCTCAGGGTTTATTATTACTACTGTTATTAAGGCAAACGATAGGGCACCATCACTTCATCAGTTTCTTCCTGCTGCTACAGCCCGATTCATCCCTTGGTCTACTCAAATCTAGAGGTTTTCTAAACCTGTAACAGCCATAAAACAAGCGACTGGATTCCCTGGATGGGAGATCAGACCATCGCAAGGCCTATACCATCAGTTCAGCAATTTTTTCTTGGTGTTTTCAGTCATGATCTCCGGTGTAGAGGCCTTCTAAATTCAAGCTGTAGGGCTCCCTAGGTGACCAGCCCATCAGACAACCTACGAGGGTAAGTCAATAAGTAAGTTACAAATGGATATAGATCTTAAACAAATAAGAGTACTGATTTCAAAAATGCTTTTATTTCTCAACATAATCTCCCTGTACACTGATGCACTTGTCCCATCGTTTCACAAGCCCCTGAAAACCAACAGCATAAAATTCTTTGGGCTACTGTCGGAACCAGGCGGTGACTTCCCTTTCTACAGCTTCGTCGTCGGGAACATGTTCAGCCGAAAGATGAGTTTAAGAGGGCCGCACGCTTTGTGTCGGGCTGGTAATGGTGAACCCAAGACTCATCACCTGTGACAATTCGGGTTAGCCTATCGCGTCCTTCATCGTGGTAGCGATTGAGATGCTGTAATGCCAGACCAATTCTTTGCATTTTGTATTGTGGGGTCAGCATGCGAGGGACCCATCGTGCACTGACTTTGTGAAAATCTAACTTGCCATGCATTTTTAGGTAGGCCATGCCGTGTGAACACGCCCCGTTCCGACAGCAGCCCAAAGAATTTTATGCTGCTGGTTTTCAGGCGCTTGTGAAACGATGGGACAAGTGCCTCAATGTACAGGGAGATTATGTTAAGAAATAAGACATTTTTCAAATCAGTACTCTTATTTGTTTAAGTTCTATATCCATTTGTAACTTACTTATTGACTTACCTACGTACTACTGCAGCACAATATGAAGATAACAGCAGACATTCGTGCTTCAAGTGGGATTCGAACCCTCCTTTTTCTTTGTCAGAGTTGTCCAAGGCAGTGCGCGACTTCCATATGGAATAAATGATAGTTGTAAGATGGAACCGCCGGTTATGGTGGCCGAGCGGTCAAAGGCATGCACTGTCTTCGATCGCTCGGAAGCCGGGAT